AACCTTACCAGTGATGAAATTCTTTCAACTAACATAAGAAATCAATGAGAAAGGTCTAGCAAACAGAATTATCATTCACTCAATCTTCCTAATATTTGCAAAAATAGCATAAAATAACACAGTTCTTGATAAAGAATTTAATTTATAGGCACTTGCCATGTGTCAACATCCTCCTAGTCTTTTTTCTTTTTAAAAAATTCTAGTACTAGCCCTAGAAGGTAGGTATTATTAACCTCATATTAACCTCGCTCTACTGGTGATTAGTACCTGTCCAAATTCATGTAGCCAGCATTTGGTCGTTTTTGAAAATTTATTTCAAAACATATCCTCTGGACTTCCTTTATGCTTATGTTTTAATTATTATCTTGAGAGGGAAATTGATTATTTGTAAGAAAAAAATAAGATAGGGGAGCTTTATCACATAACTTGGTAGTTCAAAGGTTATGCACTTCTGCTGTTATAGGTTACCCAAATGTCATGATATATGATATCATAGTGGCTATGAATTCATATTAGCAATCATAATATTTGGACTCAGTTTCTGTCAGTACTGCTTAAGTTGTCACTTATGAAAATGGGAGTTCAGACAGACCTATCAATGTAATTGATGACACAAGTTTACCTATCTTATAATTATGTTGCAAAGATTTAATAAAATCTTATATATGAGAAAAGATGTTTACTATAGATAATTTAGAAATAATAATTAAAATCACCTAAAATTATCTTCCTGAATATTAGTATGTGCTTTATTGATACCATACTCATTATAAAAAGGCACCTAAGATTTATGTGGAAAATTGATGGACATCACTATAAATAGATTGAAATGGAAGCAAGTCAATTCACATTGAGCAATTATTTTCCTATAGTTTCATCATTAGTGACTTTTTAATCAGAGGATTAAAGAATACTGTTAAATACACAAAATTATGTGGAAACAACAGATGTCTTTGGTCCCATCTGTTCATATTCTAGAACAGGTAACTACTACTTCCCCTAAATAAATGACTGTTAAATATAAGGATAAACTTTGGGAATTCTAGTAATCCATGTCCTTTAGCATCAAGTTGGGTTAGTTTGCTTTGAGCACTTGCATGGAGGCACTGTCCTCCTGTTGTTCATTGATTTGCTCGAGCGGGCCCAGTAACATCTCCATTTTTGAGACTTTGTTGTTACTTTGTTTGGCATATTGAATACGTCACGGGGAGCTTGCCAGGCTCTGCAGTGTGGGTGAGATACTCTCCGTAGCTTGCTGGGCTCTCCAAGAGGGGCAGAGGAATCGAACCTGGCTCGGCCAGGCTGGCTGCGTGCCCTACTACTGTGCTATTGCTCAGGACATGAGGAGAAGAAGAAAAATTAATAATGTGAACCTAGTTGGAGAGAGAGCTATGCAAAAATCACAAATGGAAATATTAGACAGTCAGTAGACGGGAATTGGCTTCAAAGCTGGGAGCATTTTTCGTGAAAAGTTCTCCCTAAATAAAAAGAGTCCATAATAGAAAGTGTCAATAAAATTAATAGTCTTTGTTTATTAAAATTTTACTATGTACTAGATATTATTCTCAGGATCCTGGGCATTAATCTGCATGATTTTTAATACTTTCATATAGTCAGTACTGATGTACTACTACAGGTACTCATGTACAAGATCTTAAATTGAGGGATGACCTACATCCTAAAATAATAGGACAGCTGTCTCTGAAAAAGAATCTCCACAGTGTTCTAAGTGAAATACACGAAACCAGATGTCCTGTCTATAGTCCACTATTTTGCTATTCAAGAGATTTTCAGTCAACAGTTTGGCTTCTGTAAACTTCAGGACCACCTACTCCTTAGAAAATAGATTTTTCCATGTCAAATGAATACATAAAATGTGACAGAACAACTGTGGAGAAGGATTATGTCAGAGAAGTAAGAAAGGGAAATGGCAGTATTCAGCATGTGAGCTAAACAGGAGAAACTGTGAGATCTGTTATGACTCTCTTGTTTACTGCCTCAGTCTCTCAGTGCCTTGAAACAAATATCTGTTGGCAACTGAATAAATGAATCAATAAAATGCTGGTAGGAGAAAATTACCAGCACCCTGGGATTTCTTTTTTAGTGGAACCTGGGGTTTGTTTCTTTACAACAATTTATTCAACCATTAATTATCTAAGTTCCCTTGATCCCCTGACCTAATTCCAAACCCTGGTTTTTGAAAAGAAGGAAAAACCGTTAAAGTAATCAGTTTAAATAATTCATTGTAGCCAGGCTTAGGTTAAGCGTTAAAGGTGATACTGGATATTTCTTAGTTAATATATATATTTATAACCAGAACGAGTTCTGTAATTTACTTCTGGAGACTTCATTTGCTCTGTACATCTAAGTAGAGTGAGTTATTTGAACAGAAAACAAGAGATTTCATGGATAGTTGTTTTACATTATACAAACACAGCCTTTGGAATGCTGGTAACAAACTGATGTCAAAGAAATTTGGTATTTGTACGTACTTTCTGATTTGTGACAGTCATTTGTAAAGTCTGGAGAAACGCTAAAAGGGCAGAGTTTACCTGTGAGATTTTCAACTCATTCAGTAAATTTTCACTGAGCTATTTTATAAGGTCAGACATATATTAGGTTCTGCTGGTTTGGACACAGTGACTGCTTCATTAAGCTCATTACAGATTTCCAAGTAATTTGTTTTGAGGTGTCTACTTAGAATTTCTAGTTTCTGTCCATATTCTTATGTGGCTCATTCATCACTAACAGAAGCTTACATTTTCATGAAAGTCTTTTATTGAAAATTATCAGTATTTTCTTCTGTTCTAACTTACACTTTGGGGACAGTCAAGAAGGAGCAATGTCAGACTAATTGCACTAATAATAATAGGACCCAGGCGGCTAGCTTTGATCTTGGGAACCATCTGCAGTGCAGGCCCCTTTGATGTTTCACACAATGGAAGCATAAATATTTTCTATGTATTCCATGATTGGACTTTCAGAAATCTAATTAAGATGAAGGTCAATTAAGAGAAAATGAATCTTCACTCCAAAAGTCAGAGAAGAGGTGGCAGATGATGGCATAGCTCTGTGTACATAAAAGAAAAGAACTAACCCAATTATAAACTTATATAAACACCCAGAGAAATTGCCTTTCATGTGAAAAAAAGGTCCTAAAGCATTTTTTAACATTGAGTTCATTAATATGTCTTTGAAACACACCAGTACTGGAAAAGAATAGTAATACTGGCATTTCAAATTTCTATTACAAAAAAAAATAAAGAAAATCATAAGCAGCTATGGGATTAAAGCTCTTCTGAGCTCATCAGATGCACCCCCTTGACTCTTAGAAATAAGTGCTATAACAGCTATGGTGGAGCTGTGTCTGTTGAGTTCTAGGCATAAAGGGAAGATTTTGCTGCCTGTTTCGGAAGACTACAAGTCTGGAGTCAGACCGTGAGAAGTAGGGAAGCCCAGTATAGTCCAGGCCAGGTTGAGTGAGCTTCCTTAGCTCTCTGATTCACTTTCCACTTTCTAATGTCAGACTCAGGATGTTTATCTCATAAATTTACTGTTAAAACTAAATTATAAGTTCGATTCTGTACATAATAAATACAAAGCATTGAAAACTCCTTCTCCTCCTTTTTCTTCTGAGAGTACAGGCTCCAGAAGTGCACAGGATTGAGTCGAATTCTTTTCTTACACTTAGGTTCCATGTCATCTTGGCAAGACGGTTTGCCTATTTGGGCCTAAGTATACCAAATGCAGAAATGGATTTGATTGCATCTGCCTTGCTAGGAATTTTGTGTAGAATCACTGGCACACAGCTGATAGCTTGAAACACTGAAGAGAGGGTACCTGAGAGGGCACCTAGTGTCACTGGTGGAGGGAGGCTGACCCTCTGCTGGTGGGTGTGGTATGGCAACATGCTAATATTGCAACAATATTAACAGTATTGTGGATCACAGCACCCAGGTAAAATTTAAAAATTTAAAAGAAATTTCAGAAAGTAATTCATTGCTATGTAAAGCATAGTTTCAAAGGTGTTATTTTTAGTGCATGGGTATTTGTGTGCCTATGTGCATAAGTGTATGTGTGTTAATAAAAAGGTAATTTTTTGTTTATATATGCATGGGTCCATGTGTGTTATGTGTAAAATATGTAAATTTGTATATGTGTTTAATAAATAAAATGGAAGAGCTGTCAAGAAATCCCTTGTCCCTTTTTCTGACCACAAAGGTGTGATATAGGAACTTGAATTTGAGTGATGCCCCAAATCACTCCTAACTAAACAGGGCAAATTAATTCTCTTTATTCCTTTCCTGGGTGACACATATCATATGGATATCCCCCGGCCCCCCCCACTCCCCGCCCCACAGCGTCTTTTGAAGTACATCTAAGGATCCTTTCATCTGAGTAGTTCAAAGTATGTACACTTACCTATGCATCTTACTGAAAGCTCCCTTTCTAATGCCCATACCTTGGGACAAATAGATAACCAAATTAACTTAGAGATCTATGTATAGTCACTGAGAATTCTGACCTCAGACACTTGGATTTTCTTCTAAGACCAATTAATTAAATAGCAGAAAATAAAAAAATAAGATCCTGCATTGTGTAATCCCTTCTGACAGAGAGTACATTAAGATGGATATTTCAGTTAAATCAGATATGATTTTTTTTTCCTAAAGTGGAATGACCTTGGTTTCTACAAAGACCAGAGCCATGATTGCCAGAAATGGTAGCACTGTCTCGTAATGTTGCCTTAATTTTATAGACTGGGTAAGAGACAGTGTATTGTTAAATGCATTATAGGTTATATTTAGAAATGGTATAGTAGACTTATCCAATTCAAAGGCCAAGTTCTGCCCTTAGATGTGTCCATTGTATAAATGTGCATTCCTAACCAGAATAGCTGCTTGAAATGCAAGGGTCTCCCGCTAATGGAATCCTGCAGCTTCCTGGAGGTGGAGGTGTTCTCTGGGCGCATGGCGCCTGCTGACTACTGCCATACTCACAGTTCACAGTGACCTTGACTTGCTTGACGTCAGCCGAGGAGACTTCATTGGCCGCTTTGCACTCGTATTTTCCTGACTGCTCCCTGGTGATGCCCAGTATCTCCAGATATTCTTCTTCTCCTTCAAATTCTCTTCCTGAGAAACAGATTTGTACAGTTGTTTTCTAAGGTTTCAAGTAGACCACAACATGCTTCTTTTCCTTATTTTAGAAGCAATAAATCCTTCTGACTTTTCAATAATGTGACAACGGAGCTTATTCTATAAACACAACAGACAGAAGCATAGCTCAAGACAAAAACGTCCTGTGGAAATGACTAAGAAGAAAGCATGACTAGGAAAAAATGGGTCTGGAAGTGGCGAAATGGGTTTGGAAGAAGACAGCCAAGCAGGGACTAAAAATAGGGACTAAACTAGCTCCGAGAGAGGAAGTATTTTACCCCCTAGAGAGTTCTAAGTAAACATATATTGCATTTCAAAGTTGTCCTCACCAAAGGGCAAGAAGTTGGAGTGTTTATATGTCCAAATGCATCATTCATTGGTTAAGGGTTTAGTAACGTGGGGACTACTGTGAGGGTAACTGTAAAGTACTGTGAAGGTAACTGGTGAAATGCTGATGTCATCAGTTACAGTAGGCTACAGAGACCTCTTTCAAAGCTATTACTAGGAGAGGTGGCCTCTTTTTGAAAAACTCTCACTTTTCTGTCCTAGATTGTGTGAAATTCTGTACATTAGCATCATGTACAAAATCCTGTTCTACAGTTATGGTTTTCTTGTTGATTGTCAGAGATATCACTGAGATATTCAAGACAGGGAATAGACGACAAAAGTAAACTCCTTTGTTCAAGAGGTCACACGAGGGAGGAAGTTTAGAGAGCTAAACAACACTGACTTAAACCATAGGATTAGTGGTGTGGAGGTCTTTGACGAAAGTTCTACAAAGGGGGGTGTGTGTGTGTGTTTGTGTGTGTGTGTGTGTGTGTGTTTGTGTGTATTCAAAGAAATCTCAAGATAGGACGTTTGTTTAATTCCTACCACCTATATGGTTGTAGAAGTAGAACAAGAGAGAGACAGAAAGAGTAGTGAGCAGGGTGGACGTGGGGGACAGGAGAAGGAGGAATGAGGTTGGTCAGGTAGGTCTATGTACTTAGCTTTAAATTGAAGCACCTTACCCCAGATTACAAAATCCCAATACTACTAAGTTTATAGTAAAGCACCTGAGAGGTTGTTAAAGGAAATTCTTCTGCTACCATAAAGAAATCTTTCTTCTGGTCATTCTACACTAAATAGTACCAATTAATAACTCTGCTAAAATGCTACAAGCTGTTTTTCTTTCCTGAAAATTCCCTAATGGCCAAATCAACATAAGAGACAGCCAGCACAGAGACAAATTCACTGTCGAAATATGTCAGCTGAGCCTGTTAACCAGACTCCCAAAAGAACATAGGGCCTCTTTGATAACATCCTATAACACAAACTGTCAAGAGTACTCCAAGCTTCAAGTATTCTGTCAATTACCAATATCAGTAGTTTTGAGGAAACTCTAGAATTCCAGTAACAAAATGGCAGTTTTGTTATATAAAATTGGGTGGTTCTGAGGTCCTACACATCTTTTAGCATATGTTTTTACTGAAAATATTCTAGAATCAATCTATGCTTCTATAGCTGCATATCACTTATACCAGACTTTTTTTTTTCTTTTTGGGTCATACCTGGCCATGCACAGGGGTTACTCCTGGCTCTGCACTCAGGAATTACTCCTGGCAGTGCTCAGGGGACCATATGGGATGCTGGGAATTGAACCCGGGTTGGCCGCGTGCAAGGCAAACGCCCTACCCGCTGTACTATCAATCCAGTTCCAAGACTTGTTTTCCTTATCTTTGTTTCTTTATTCTTCTCATTTAAGAAAGTAATTCAATCTAACTTTACATGTCATAGAGGTAGAATATGGCGTGAAAGTAAACAGAATTCTCAGAAAGAAAAAATAGTCCATTTTATTGCATTAGTTGGGCAGTATTTGAACTTGAAGGAAAAAATAATTTTTTGTGTGAACTTGCATCTTATGGATGGAGAATCATGGCAACTCACTGACTTTCAGTAAATATACACAGTCTAAAGACTAATGCAAACTCTGACAATTGTAGACCAAAATTAATGAAGCTAATTCCAGGTCTGGATTGAATAGGTGAATATAAATTTTGAGAATAATGATAGACAGTAACTAGAGAAGAAAAAGAGGATTTCAGAATTTTCAAAGATTTCAGCTCTTCCTGTCCTACTCAAACTTTTTCCCCAGGAAGGTACAGAGGTGTCTGTAGAAAAAGTAAGAATAAAGAATAAGTATTTTTAAAGATGGCAAACATTGAACGCTTCTCAATTCCCATACAATACTTATAAACTGTGGGTAATATATTTTAATCTTGTATTTTGAATTTGTGTATTTTGAATTTGTGGGGCTGGAGCAATAGTACAGTGGGTAGGGTGTTTGCCTTGCATGCGGCCTACCCGGGTTCGATTCCTCCGTCCCTCTCAGAGAGATCAGCAAGCTACCGAGAGTATCCTGCCCGCACAGCAGAGCCTGGCAAGCTCCCTGTGGCATATTTGATATGCCAAAAACAGTAACAATAAGTCTCACAATGGAGACGTTACTGGTGCCCGCTCAAGCTAAACGATAAACAACTGGAGGACAGTGCTACAGTGCTATTTTGAATTTGTGAGTATAAACTAGTTTCAAGAAAGGAAGAGTAGAAGGAGGACAGGGAACACAGAGTACTTGGTGGGGAGATATAGGTACTCAGTACTGGATGTAGTACAGTCAAATTATATGCCTAAAAAATAAATATTAATATTGTGGTAATCATGATGCCTCAATAGATACAAAAAATTATATCAAAGACTCAATCATGCTACTTTATATTTCCATATTTTATAAAAAAGTAAAATGTTAGTAGGGCTAACTGAAGCCTTACCAATTTGGGAAGATGTTACCTCTGAAAGTAAGCAAACTAGAGAAAACATGAAAATATAAAGTAATATGATTGAGTTTTTGACAGAAAATGTTTGTATCTATTGAGGCATCAGGATTACCACAACATTAATATTTGTCTTCTAGATATATAATTTTACTGTACTACATCCAGTATGGGCTGGAGCGATAGCACAGCGGTAGGGCGTTTGCCTTGCATGCAGCCAACATGGCCGACCGGAGTTCGATTCCTCCGCCCCTCTCGAAGAGCCCGGCAAGCTACCAAGAGTATCTCGCCTGCACGGCAGAGCCTGGCAAGCTACCCGTGATGTATTCGATATGCCAGACACAGTAACAACAAAGTCTCCAATGGAGACGTTACTGGGCCCGCGCGAGCAAATTGATGATCAACGGGAGGGCCTTTACCTTTACCTTTACCTTTACATCCAGTACTGAGTACCTATATCTCCCCACCAAGTACTCTGTGTTCCCTGTCCTCCTTTTACCCACTCCTTTTTTTAGCAGACTAAGTTCTTTTGGCAAAATCTCAGTTTATTTTTATTATTGTTTACCCACTTTCATTTTTACTTATGCTCTCCATATGAGTGAGATCATCTGGTATTTGTCCTTTTCCCTAAAAATCACTTCATTTAGCATAATAACCTCCAATTCCATCCAATTTGTAGTGAAACATGTTTTATTTTTTTCTTATAGCTGAGTAGTATTCCATATATATGTGCAAATATATGTATTATAATCTCACAATTTCTTTATTGACTATTTGTGGCTTGGCACTTGGGATGTTTCTAGATGCTGGCTATTATAAATATGGCAGCAGTGAATATAGTTTGGACTTGAGATTCTTAGATATCAATAATTCATTTTTTTCTGATAAATAAATAATAAAACATTTTCACATGATGAATTTTCCACCTTACATTTCTAGATAGAATTTTACCCAATACTGTCTGAAGAAGGGAAACTTTTCCTAAGTGTCCATCATATGGGTGGGAAGTTCCTTTTCTCTTCGGAGGTGATTCTGCTCTCATAATTGCCTGCATCACCTACACAAAGAGTACATAACTATTTGACTCCTTTAAGGGAGTCTCAATGTTCATATCAACTATAGATAATAAAAACTAGATTATTTCCCCTTATATAGTCATCCTGGCAAGATTTAAAATATAAACCAAATGAACACGTTCTCTCCTCACCCTTAATTTTATTCATCCTTTACCACTTGGATTCTCCAGTTGAATATTTTGTGCTTCCTGGCATTTCTTGCTAGTCTATTTTACTTGCACCTATAAGAGACACTTCCCACTACACGTTATTTTTTGTCTTTTGCTTGAGAATTTACCATCAATCCACAGTGATTTGAGAGGACATGGGAGTTTTTCTGTTACCAAAGAACCATATTGTGAATTCCTTAGGGACGGTGTCAAACTTGCAATATTCCCAGGAGGGATCCCAGATTAGAGCATAGATTAATAACTCCATGCAGGTTTGTTGAGTTAGCAGAATTAAATTAAGAAACACCAGGAGAGAGAGAGGTCAAGCTTAACATATCACACAACTTGAGAGAACAATGCTAAGTTTTTAAAGATGGCTAAGTGTTTCAGTGTGAGAAGCTGGTGTATAAAAGCCATTCCCATTTAATGATCCTAACAGAGTTCCCTTTCACTGGGGAAGAAAGGGTGTATTATAGACTCTGCAATTGAAAGGCTGGACAGGGATATCTCTGTTATGTTCTGAGGATGTATCTGCTGTGTGGAGTTATTGTTTCAGAGAAAGGTGTGGAGACACCAACAGAGCCACAGTGGAAACAGCCCAAGGCCATGCCTTTCATCCGAGCAACTGCAGTTTCTGTTACAAGGTGCACGATACAACCATGTTCAACTTGAGCTACAAAAATTTTAAATGGATTCAGAAATACTCTTTCTCTTTTGTCCCAGTGTGTCTGCTCCATCGGGGCATTTTTGCTCCTTTCTTTCAGTTCACTCTAACCAGCTACTCTCAAACCCAGGGTCCTGTCACCATGACCTATTCTTTCACAACCTTGAGACACCTCTCAGATCAGAAAGTGACACTTAACCTGGTGTTTGAGTTATTCAAGTTCTCTTGAAATAAGAACCATTTCTCTTGAAACAACTCTCTTGAAATCGAACTTTGA